TTGGAAATCATTAACGTTCCTAAACTCCTTTAGCACCTTTTAAAACTTTCTCAATTTTTAAGCATTCTTGGTATTATCAGAGCCTGACTACTTTAATACTGCACACTGATTTATATGTCTAGAGTGCCCTTCTGCCTAAGGCCCATCTTGCATATACATTTCTCTTTATTTCCTAATTAACGCAAATGCTTTTAGTTTTCAGTAAAAATGGTGGGAATATCTGTCACCACTGAACCACTGCTTGACTAAAAGACAGGAATGGAGGAGTGCAGTCACAGGAGCCAGGGGCTTGCTCTGGTCAGAAGCAGGAATAAGGGCATGGATGGAAGCTGGGGATGCCCTTCTGTTGAGTGACTCTGCCTAACAAGAAGGTGGCACATGTTGCATTTCCCAGTGTTAGCAGGATTGAGTATTGGTGTTTAATTTCCTTCAGATTCTCTTCAGATAGTGTGACTAATAGGTTTTCTATATTCATGATCCTTTTTAATGCAGTTTCTCTAAGATTGGTTTCTGTTGCTGGTTTGGGCGTAAACACTTGATGGAGAGCTGTTTACCTAAGCATGTCTTGTTACTGAGTCTCTTTATTAACATGTGCCATGCAGCTCAGATGTGCTTATTTAATGGTTAAAAGTATGCTAATTCATACAGCATTGTCAGGAGTAAATGTCTGTAAACAAATATCTGCAGTGAATATTATAAACTAATTTTTAAATGAACGCATTCTAAGTAAGAAGAAAGAGTCGAATGAATTAAGGTGAAAATTCACTTTTGAAGTAATTCTTTGAAATTCAAAACTTGCACTATAGCTTTTGGTGGTCCAGAAAAAGCATTGAAAATCAGCTCAGTGGAGGTGGTGGGAAGGGTAGGAGGGGAAGGGTATGACTATCTTTGTCACCGCTATTATCTAGCTGAAAGCAAGTTTTTTACTAGAAATAAATTCAGAAGCCTAAGTAAAGCATCATTGGCTCTGGACTATGCTATATTTATTGTATATACCAAGTCCCTACTCTCAACGTGTAGATAAATCAGTGGCTAATATTTATAAAGGCCTAAAATGTTACGCACTTTATAAATACAGGGAAACTTGTTCTAAATGTCCTCTTGAATGTGACAAAAATGAATGGAGTTTTTTTGTACAAAACATTTACAGAGCACTTGGGAGCAGTGCTTTAGGATAGCATTCGTACTTCATCTACTGTGTGGGAATATCTCCTGTAACTTGTTTTACCAAGACGTTCTTGAAGGTTGGGAACCACAGCAGTGCAAGTGGTTGCTTTAGATATGCTACACAAAGCAATTTTAAGGAAGAATCTGGAGTTATGGAGGATAACTGAACATTATAATAATGGGAAAGCATAAAAAAGGGCCACTCATTTATTCACGATCAAGAAGAATTCTGTCATGCTTGTGAACATTTCAATATATCTGTAACTGTTTGCAAAAGTCAGCACACAAAGGGGAAATGTTACTGCGGACAAATTAGAAATATTTTTCATTATTCTAGTATCACTGGAAGTAAAAGTGGTAGTACAATAAGTTACCTCAGGATCACTTTCTTTCCATTAATGACACAGAAAATTAAACTGAGAGCTTTGAGCTTCTATAGAATACATTTAAATAACTGATTTAGAAAAAGGTGTTCATATTTAAAAAAACAAGATCATCTTTTACTATATGTCTATGAAAATTAAATGTTAAGTAGTCACAATTCATGGCAAACAAACCTCAGTTTTTCTACACAAGCTTCATATTTGGGACAGATTTGTTGGTTTTGGTTCTGCAGTTTACTCAGAGGGAGAGGTAAGGATTTGTTGTAAGTCACACACACACAAAAGCAGCTGAGTATTCTTACTGCTTTAAGTTTTGTTCTCATGTAAGCCCAATTTGAAATACTGTCTATTTTTAAGCTACTGTCTACAAATACTAAATAGCCCTAATTTTATGGTTCTGTGGTCACCACAAAACTGACTCACAGTGTAGTCACTGTGCCTGATGTTGATAATAAGTAAACAATGTCCACAGTAATAAATGTTTGCAAAGACAAGATTCTTGTATTATAAATTGTTTTGGATTTGCAGTACAAATTCCATAAGAATAGGTCAGTGAAGCATATTTTATTTTATTTTTTTTTAGCGAATAATTCTTTTCATTATCAGGAGACCCCTACAGTCAAGAAAAACAAGGCTGTAATAGGAAAGAAGGAATGAAATGTTATCATCGCATACCTAAGTGTAAACTCTAGCAGTAAAGGGTCCTGCTAAAGCCTCCAAGAAAACTGAGGAACAATTGCACTTCCTTTGCTTCCTCCGTCCACATTGCAATTCATCATTTGAAAGATATTTGTGTTTATGTGCACTGTTCATCTTGCCAAATGTTCATTGTTTCTCCCTTAATAGATAGCCAAGGTGTTCCAACTATTTGTCATAGCTCACGTATCCTACACTGCCAAGCATAGGATACAACGCATGGGGGAATTTCTGCACCTGAAGCATGTATCTTCTGTACAAAGTTCAAATCTCAACACAATTCCATGGCAAACATGGAAGCTTTATGGACTTTTAGAGGTTGATACCACTCTTTCTCCAAAGTTTTTGTAATTAGTAAGACTAGCTGTGCACGTAAGAGATACAACTTCTCCCCTGATATTGGCACAATCTTTCAAAACATTTCCATGAAAAACAAACACTTGGAGAACCTGAAAATCTGTGCTTCATGGAAGACCAAGACCTGCAGAGCCACTGGAAAAATCGCTTGTTTTCAAACTGAAAAGCAAATCCTGATTCCTAAATAAAGAGATATGGGTAGCCTGGGCCAATACTGCCGCATGAAGTGATGTCAACAGGATAGTTGTGTTGTTCTTTTTTGTTTGTTTGTTTTGTAATGGGTCCTCAGAGGATGCCAATGTTCCTTGAAAGAAACATAAATTTTCTTGGATAGCTGTAACATTCAGCATGTCATGATCAGTGATGGATGAATGTTGGTCAAGAGTTTGCTTTTAATTTATCACCTGAGTTTATTGGGTACTAAGAAGCATACCAACTTTTGGAAGTGTTTGCAATACCCACTGTGATTCAGCAATTGGAAACTCAGCACATTTTTTTGTTCTTTTTCTGGCAACATCACTTGTTTTGATTTTTTATCATCCAGTTTGGGACACAGTGATTAAATAATGTCCTCTGAAAAATATTTCCTGACTTAAATTTTAAAAAATTCTTAAAAATGGTTGTCCCATCCCCTACGTAATCTGCTTTCAGTATGGAGACAGTATGAGTCTGTTACCTGTTTGAATCAACTTCACCTGCCATCTTGCACACCTAAAGTGTCTTTATTGAGCACTGGAGTATTTTATAATGAGGTATTCTCAGGTGTTGGTAGTTAGTGAACCGCACATAGGTTCTGACCGTAGCACAGATGGGAGACAGCAAGTTAATTCCTTATTCCAGAGAAGCAGAAAATGGGTGGGAACTGAGGTCTGCTGTCTCTCTAACAGTTCCCACAGTCCTATGGGAGCTGTTTCACTCTTCGCAGTGTCAAAAGGAAAGATGGAGAGTGGACAAGAAGGAAAGATTTTCCAGCCTAGTTTTGATTGCTTTGATTTCCAATGCCTGAGCTACAGTTCATTAATTGCAGAAAATGCTCGAGGCATGGAAGGAAAATCTTGAGTACCACAAGCCGAAATAGCACATTGTAAGGCAGATGTAAATTACTTCTTGCAGGTGGGAGAGGTGGGTTCAGGTTCTCTCCAGCAAGGTAGAGACTTAAGCTAAGTCATCAAGTTCTAGCTGACTTTTCCACTGACTCTCCTATCCACTGATTAGTTAAGATGACTCACTTAAATTGCTGCCTCCTCCTCTAATGCTTTATTTCCTTTGCTTTTTCACATGTCATATCTTACTTTAATATATCGTTCAATTAAATGTTTGTTTGCTTGTTTGTTTCTCCTTTCCACAGATAGTCTAAACAAGTACATTGTGAGAGAAATAAAATAGAAGTTATTTTTAATTTTGTTGAGCTTGGCAGCCTTTATGTGCACCACTTTTTTATTAGCTGGCAATTACACTCTTGGTGATGTAGAAAGAGCAATTGGATGGGATAAATAAATCATTTTGACCTATATATAGCTTCCATATATGAAAAACTTCACGGAATGAAAGCAGGGCTGACAAATTATCAGGAAAAACAATTATGATTTATAAAAGACTTAGAAGCTTTCTCTTTATTTTTTTTCATCAGGTCTGAAGTTAGTGAAGAAGTCTTGATAGGGGTCTGTAATTGCTTCATTTGTTAAAAGCTGTTGCAAATCATTCCAGCTTTGAGAAAAAGTGCCTTGTCAATCTCTTCTTTTGTGTTCTCTCCTTCTGTTTCCATTACCCACTTCAAGGTTTTTACTTTCTCTGCTAGGCAAAGTGCCCAGAAGCCAAGGGAGTTAAGCAGGGCTGCTTAGTTCTGCTTGTAGGCTAGTGTCAATTGCAGCTCTGGGAATCAGCCGTTTCTGCTACCAGTGTCTGTAATGGTTGTGTTCAAAACAGCTTATGTCATTGTGTCACCAACTTCATGTGAGAGAGGCATGCTTCAAAACAGGTACCAGGACAGAGCATACTGGTTTGCAGTGACAAGTGAATAAGCAGAAGAATAATATCTTAATATCTATCTGGGTTTTTTTCTGCCTTCCTATTTTATGATTTTTTTTAGTCAAAATATATGTGTATCTTACTTTTGACAGGATTGTATACTGCTGTCTAAAATATCACCTGTTAGCAATTTATATCTTTGTGGCTAACAGTGGAAACCTTGTTATGTATCAAAAGAAATGTGACATTATGAAAGAAATAAAATATGATATTAATTTGTGTGTCTCTATAATATAGAATTTTTCTTAGGGTGTTTTTAAAATTTCTATGATTTTAATAGCTTGAAAGTAATATTCATATGTGTCTTTCTGTTACTTTGGATGATACATACTACAGTGAGTATATATTTATTGTTTTATTTCTTCATAGATATTTCATTGATCATAACACAGAAGAAGATAGGTATTTCACCATTGATGCTGGTACTGGGACCATAAAGACTGCCAAGATCTTTGACAGAGAGGAGACACCTTGGTACAACATCACAGTGGCTGCTTCTGAGATAGGTAAATAATATATTTGGCACATAGTATTAAAAAAAAGTAGAAAAGAAAATAATAATTTTCAGATTTTAAGAAATATTATCTTGAGATGTTATGTTCTTTTTAATATCATGGGTTTTTTAACCAGTTTGGTTAAAGGAGAATTTTCTGCGTGTGTGTTCCACAGAACAAACAAACAAAATCCCATGCTTATGTGATTCCACCTATGTAAATTTACCATGTTTTTCTGTATGTGATAGAAGGCTGCCAGTTTACCCAGGAACAGTTCCAAGCATTCAGTGTCCTAAAATCAACAGCTTGTTCGTTTGTGTTTAACATTTTGTATATCTTAGAAGATAACACTATATAGTACTGTCTGAGAAATTTAACCTTCCTTCTTGTATCTGCTATTAATGTATTTTAGTGAATTGCATGTTAAATATGCCAATACAAATTTACATCTGACAGGTGCCTAGTAGTTGATGATTATCGGGGTATACCTCTGGCCTTTTATTAGGCAAATTGCCAAGGTAAGATACCATGAATATTTGCCTGCATATCTGAAAGTCCTCAAAGTCTGATGAATTTCCATTGCTTCAGATAATCACAAAATCATAGAATCATAGAATTGTTTGGGTTGGAAGGGACCTTTAAAGGTCATCTAGTCCAATTCTTCTGAAATGAGCAGGGACATCTTCAACTAGATCAGGTTGCTCAGTCCACCGTCCAGCCTGACCTTGAATGTTTCCAGGGATGGGGCATCTACCACCTCTCTGAGCAACCTGTACCAGTGTTTCATCTCCCTCATTGTAAAAAAATTCTTCTTTATATCCAGTCTAAATCTACCCTCTTTTAATTTCAAACCATTACCACTTGTCCCATCGTAACAGGCCCTGCTAAAATGCTTGTCCCCATCTTTCTTATAAGCCCCCTTTAAGTACTGGAAGGTTGCAGTAAGGTCTCCCCAGAGCCTTCTCTTCTTCAGGCTGAATAACTGCAACTCTCTCAGCCTGTATGCATAGCAGAGGTGTTCCAGCCCTCTGATCATTTCTGTGGCCCTCTTCTGGACCCGCTCCAACAGGTCCATATCTTTCCTGTGCTGAGGACTCCAGAGCTGGATGTAGTACTCCAGGTGGGGTCTCACCAGAGTGGAGTAAAGGGGCAGAATCACCTCCCTTGACCTGCTGGCCGCGCTTCTTTTGATGCAGCCCAGGATATGGTTGGTTTTTTGTGCTGTGAGCGCACATTGTTGGCTCATGTCCAGCTTTTCATCCACCAGTCCCCCAGGTCCTTATAGGCAGGGCTGCTTTCAATCCCTCCATCCCCAAGTCTGTATTGATACCAGTGGTTGCCCTGGCTCATGTGCAGGATCCTGCACTTGGTCTTGTTGAACCTTATGAGGTTCATACAGGCCCACTTCTTGAGCTTCCCTGGGTCCCTCTGAATGGTATCCCATCCCTCAGGTGTGTCAACCACACCTCTCAGCTTGGTGTCATATGCAAACTTGATGAGGGTGCACTTGATCCCACTGTCTATCTCATTGATGAAGATATTAAAGAGTACTGATCCCAGTATGGACCCCTGAGGGACACCACTTGTCACTGATCTCCATCTAGACATTGAGCAGTTGATCACTACACTCTTGATGTGACTATCCAACCAATTCCTCATCCACCAAACAGCCCACCTATCAAATCCATCTCTCTCTCATTTAGAGAGAAGGGTGTTGTGGGGGACTGTGTCAAAGGCCTTAGAGAAGTCCAGATGGATGACATCTGTAGCTCTTCGCTTGTCCTCTGATGTAGTAACTTGCAACTAGGCATTTGCAACAATAAGCCTTGCTTCCCGTCAAGAAATGTCTGACTGAGTAGTCCCAGATAAATATTCTTGTACGAGGCAAGGACAGTTTAAAAAACGTTTCAGTTAATTGTTTTATTACAGGTTCTTTATTTTGGCACAGTCAAAGTTTTGATGTTAAAAAACTCAACAAACCAAATGAAAAAAAATCCCAACCTGGATCAATAGAACAATGCTGCTAAGTACTTTTCGTGATACTGTCTTTCAGTGCAGTGATTTTGATCAAAACTATAAACTACTTTTTATGTATATCCCTTTCCCTTTTTTTGGTGTATTCTGTCATTCCCAGATGACACAATACAGGTTTTGCCTGTAACAGGTGCCACTAACATTATTGAGCTCCCTCTGCTTTCATCTGTTTCATCTCCAGGTTAAAATGGAATCTGTTCTGCCGCTACTTCATGAGCACATACTACAGAATTAATAGCATATACATATTTTATAAGGACAATAAATTGTTTCTTATTACTGTACCTGCTTTTGTAACTAAATTGATTTTTTGAACTAAGTAAATTTCTATTGTAAATAGTAAAATGTAGACTTTTATGTAGACTTTTATGTTTAGCCCTTTAAAAAAGGTAACCACTGACACTTCAGTGTGCTTGGCAGTGTCTTCATATATAATGTGTTATTTCAGTGCAGCATGAAATAAAATATAATTTAAGCCTAATAGCCTAATCATAAGCAGGTGCATAGTAAGTGTTAATTTCTATTAAGATTTAAAAGCCACATTGGGGCATACTGAAGAAAGGAGTAGTCACTAGTTTTTTTGGGAAGCCTTCCAAATGTAATTATTTTGCAGAAATAAATCTCAAAAGCATTAAACTTAAATGTAGCTTTCTACACATTATTTGTTCCACATAGTCAAATAAGTGGTAGTATGTGTACCATGCTGAGAGAATGAAGAAGGATTGTGTTTATAACTAAAAGAGAGTAGAAAGAATAATGAGGTTGAAATGCCATTTTTTTTAAGACAGCCTGCTTAGAATTCTCCATTGCAGGTGCAACTCATTACAGGAAAACAGAGATTTTTTTTTTCTCCCTTGCATTGCCTTTCATTACTGTTAAAGTTGGGGTTGGAAAGACAAGTACATCTATAATGTCAGTTTGGAAAACAATTCGGTCATGAAAAAAGGAAGAGACAGCAGTGAAGAAGAGATGGATGTCAGGCAGACTGACAGGCAGCTTAAATGACAGGCAGCCTTTCCTTGCGTCCACTTCTTTGGCCATTTTTTTACCCACAGTAATTTGAATATTACTGCTGTACTCTTCCCAAGCAATTGTGAAATCAGTAATTGGATCTACTGTGGAAGAAGGAGCATATGTTGTGTATACAGCATCAAGACCAAAATTGTTATGTTAAGTGCTATCTATTCCATACCTACAGCCTTTTATGGCATTCACTTTCAAGTCCATGCACAAGGAATTGCAGAACTAAGACTAAAGTGGAAAAATAGGTGGCAGGCTGTGACCAAAATGTTATTGAGCTTTGAGAGTGGCAGTCTTCAAGTTCATCTGACATGGTAGTCAGCATTTGTAGCTTCTGACACCATTTGCTTAGCCAGGAACACGGCAGAATCTGCAAGGCCCAGAAAGATCGTATTGCTTCAACAATAAGAGATGTTCTGCTGAAATAATGTTAAGGTTATAGTTAGTGTCTTGAAGTGTTTTCCTCTGTTGACTTTATGCTACCGTTCACTGACAGAATTCGGTTTGTACTGATCATCCCTTGGGCAGCTATTTGCCGCTGTGCTTATTTTATGCAAATAAATTTAGAATCAACATCGTATTTCCACCCTCAAATGTATGATATCCTCATGCTCCAACCTTATTGGTTCTGAACCTTTCACAAGACATTTACTTTCACTTTTAGACTCAGTATGTGATACACATTGTGCGTTGATCAAACGTCCCCTTTGGAATCAGTGGTAGTTCTACCACTTTCCTCTGTGGGAGCAATATTGATGTAACGATCCATGGGGTATTTTTGTTTACACAGATACTTCCTAAAGCACACCAGAGCTCATTGCCACAAGAATGGATGGGGCATATGCTGTTCTTTAACAGCAGCATACAGTGAGGAAGAGTGGGATTTTGGTGTCCAGGGCACACCACTGAAGTTGTTGCTTTGATTGTTTCAGTAATAGTGCCTCCTGAAAGCTCCTTGTGGTATTAAGAATGAGAAAGATGATAAAATAATACTACATTTTATACTGAAGCATCTACAGACTATGTCTGTGGCAGGGGGAAGGACTACAAATTGATAGTAATGGGATTTTAAAATGCGGTTTCACATAGAATTATTCACATTTCATTAGCTTGTTTGAATTCTTTGAAAAAGTTTATAAAAGAGTATTTAAAAGAGTATTGCTGCACATACAGAGCTTTGATACCACGGTGTATTAGAAATCAGAACACTTAAGAGGCATCATTATGCACTCGATTTTTCAGACAAAATAAAGATCTCCAAGGCTATCAGACACAATCAGATATTGGAAAAATAAAACCAACCCAACCCAAAGATATTTGTCTTTGTTTATTTGTCTTCTGTGTTTTCTTCTCCATGCATATTCCTCATAGTAGCTTCAGGGAATAATGTACCAAAGTGTCGAGTTAAAGCAATACTTCATTGAAAAAAATATGCAATACCCTGTGATCTGGTATTGAAAGGATCCCATGAAAATACAGTCAATACAAAACCTGCACAAAGGAGTAACTTTCAGGGATATTTTCACAAAGGGCAAATAAACCCTAATCAGAATGAAAATATGTGAAAAGACAGGACAGCTCACAAGAATAAGTTTGGAAGAGTTAGCTTGCAAGAATTGGGGTAAAAACATTAAAGTGCATGTTCTAATTATAACATAAGCATTTTTTTCATCAATAAGTTTTTGGTAGAAACAGAAACAATAACAGAAAGATATAGTTATCCAGATCAGAGGAAAACAGGATGCACAGAGAAAAATAATAATTTGCAGCACTGACATATAAAACCCCTTGAGGTTTTGAATAAATATTGAAAGCCTTGTAATGACATTAAATAAACATATAAAGTATATAATTAGAGTGAGGTGCAGTTATATCTTTTATTTAATTCCACAGGGATATTGCCACCTCATATTGCCATTTGTGAACAGCCAGTTATGAGAAGAATTTGCTGGTTCTTATTCATGTTTTATGGTTGCATTGCAGCATAAAAGACATTTCTAATATTTTGGTAAGAAATTAATATATATATGACTTCTGACAGCACTACATGAGACTGTCATACGGAGAATGAGAACTGAAGATATAGTGGAGATGTAAAGTAAACAGAATAAACCTGTTAATGCTATTAAGAGGCACACTGGTTTATCATTTCATAATAATAACAGTTTAACTCTACCACTCTAACTTAAAAAAAACCAAGCCAAAACAAAACAAAACAAAAACCCCAAAAAAAACTAACAGCAAAAAACCAAAACCACAAAAGACTGTTGATGTCAGGACTGTTATTCTGAATGTTATTCAAGTAGCATTTATTTTCATAAATCCCATGGGAATTTTGTTAATATGAAAAGGAAGTTTCAGATAGCAGCATATGTATTAAAAAGAAGCTTTCTTCTGAAATAGGGGTTTTAAAGTTTGCCCACAGAAATGAGTGGAAAAAAAGATTCAAGACTCCAGACTGGCTGTTGATAGGGACTGCTGTCACTTCACAGAGGACTTGCTGGTGGAGGGGCTGATACTGAGTGAAATTGATTCACTTTACAGATATTTAGCATTCTGGCAGACGAACTGGTTATTCTGGGAAAAGTCTCAGTCATAAGGAAGCAAGTCCCTAAAATAGGTGAATTGGAGCAATGTTTCTGCTTCAGTTATCCCTTAAAACAGTGAGCATTCACTTTGAAAATTCGACTCTTGAGGCATAATGCTAACAGGACACAGAATAGATCTGGCTGTTTTATAACGTGCAGGCCTGAAATATATGTCAGCACTGATTATTTTAAAACTGGAAATCTGCCAAACTGCTGCATGAAATTTGTGTAATTAACAAAAATGTACTACTAAAAGGACCGGTTATTAGAGTGATTTGGAGATTGCAGGTGAGTTGTACACCTAAAACAGATTTGAGTTTATGTTTATTTTATAATTAAAAAAAAAAACGAAAAAAAAGGTTTGTAAGGTCCCTTTTAATTCATTCTCATTTTCTTTGCTCATTATAAACTGTGCTATCATCTTGCATGCACATCTGTGTAGTAAACGCAATCTGACAAACTTCAAGACTGTTTCGGTAAGTTGTGTTAATACTTTCCCTATTAGCAATTTGTAGTGTGTAGGCTGTCAGTATGGAAATTTGCCTGCAAATGTCAACAATCCCATGAGGTAACTGCTTCCAGAAAGATACTAATAATACCTTGTGCATTAACTCTTGTGCATTCAACTCTTTTGAATGGGTAAGCTCTTTGTGAATTCTTTGTACTGCAAAGTAGCTGCAGAACAAATAAAGGTAAGCTCTCTGAATCTCCATGAAAACTCTGTGAAAATAATGCAAATTGAACAGACTAGAGTAAGACCACACTGGGTAGTAGTGACAAGCATACAGAAAGACAAATTTAAGATGGGGCAAAGAGGTCTGATACACTGTACTGAAACAAAAGTATTTACCATTTTTTGCCACACACTGGACTAAAAAGTCTTGTTTTTCTTCCCCAGTGACTATCCCAACCATGCCAGACCTACAGAGCAGTTCTCTATCTCTGGTACCTACTGCCCTGTGCTCTTCCGGCTTTTTTCTCCCTTCTTCTTAGATGTATTATGGCCCTTTATAGCTTTGAAGAAGGCCCTGCTTTGAGCTAGGGACTGGACCAGTGACCTCCAGAAGTCTCTTTCAACTAAGATTTTTAGGTGATCCTGTGATTATCTGATATTCACTTTTTTTTTTTTTTTGCCTTTTGGCCAAAGCTTCTTTGAGATTTCTCTTGTACTAAAATCTTAAATTCCTTCACTGTAGTTTATGAATCCACTCCCAAATTGATTTATTCATCCTTAACCCTTTACTGTGATCTCTGCCTTCCATCTCCTTTCTATGCTTTTCTGTGCTCTCTCTTTGTCTGCTTTGTGTTCTTCCTTTAATTTACACCACTTTGTAGTTCACATACTTCATAAACCATGTCCGAGAGCCTCCTGAGCAAAGCCTCAAGAACAAAGCTCCTTTGAGTTGCAGTTCATCTCTAGATCATCTATTGCTAGATATCATGTTCTGTAATTGTAACTTCAGGACTTTTGTAACTGGATTGTCTGATGACATTGACAGAGGAAGTTACCTAAATGAGTTTGTAAGCTGTATTTCAGTGAGCAGTAACAAATATTCAGTCTCTACTGCTTGTGCTGTTCTGCGCAATCTCATGACAGACCTACCTACCTTTAGGAAAGGGCTAAACATCTTTTTGCATTGGTACTCATACTTCAAAGGGTCTCCTGGAGAGAAGATTGGTTCCTTCAATAATACGAGTAGAGGTAGTTGAACGGTTCCTTTCTCCCAACTGCTTAGTGAACAGCCAAGTGTCATTCTTCCTCACCTTCACTTCATATATTCCTAGCATTTTATCATTCCTCAAAGTTTTCCACTAGAAGTGTTTTCTAGATAGCGATGGAAAGCTTTAGTCTTGCGTGAACCAAATTGAGACAGCCTACTTGAGTCCCTCAGTTCACCTGTTATGACAATATACATAATTTTGGGGTAAAACTGAAAATACCAAGAGTCAAGGAAAATTTCAGCAAGAAAATGGAACTTGCAAGTCTATAAATGTGTTCTTATAACTTCTAATGCTAATGTTAATTGGGAAGATAGGTTCCTAAGTTAAATCTTTCTTTTCCATCGATTTTTTTTATTTCCTTTCTAGTCCCATTTTATGGGGATAATTGACAAAGTTCTAAAAGTGAATTAAAATCATCAGATGAACATAGACATATTAGTTAAAAAGAGAAAGTGAAAAATCTGAAGAGAACTTCTAAACCCCAGGCTCTTTGCCTTGTATCCCAAACGAAAAGAAAGAAGGATCAATCTCTCACTATGTCAAAAGAAACTTGAACATTCTCAAATATTCTTTCATTGAGAGGCTACATTACTAGTAGCTTTGAATACAAATATGTGTCTAATCAATGTTTTTCAGAATTCTGAGCAGAGGCCATTAAAGGTGTGACAAATCTAAGGCATTTCACAAATGACCCTTTTTGACAGAAACATGATGTGGATTAATTAAGATCAAAATAGCCAAGATGAATGAGGTTCAGACTACTAATGTTTCTCTTTTTTTTTCTTCTCATGAGCACACACGGGGACATGCACTTTAAAAATGTCAGTCTGTAAGACGCCATTCTTCCATCTTGTTGCACTTGAAAGATTGACTTTACTGTCTTCTGCTGACAGTTTAGTTTAATTGGTGAAAGTACAATGAAGTTTGTCATCTTACCAATTGATATTTATAGAGACTTCAGAAGGTGTATTTTATCTGATTATAAAAAGTTTTAATACACAATTCTTTCAACAAAATAGAACTTTCTTAGTACTTAGTAGTAAGAACAAGGGAATGATGGATTAAAAAAAAATAGGAGGTTTTCTCATTTTATCATGGAAAGCATAATCTCATTGAAAACATTCTATTTTTTACGCTTTTGGAGGGTGAACTCTTTTTGAGGGTGAGCTCTCATGCAAGTGCAGCTCATACCCTAAGACACCCTTATTTAAACACTGTTTTCTTACTGGTACATCACTGCTAAAGCAAGACTCGTGAACTACTTTGTGTAATAGCATAATAACTTGTGAGGAACCTGAACTCAAGCTTGGGAAAGGTTTATACGTGCCTGTGTATTTGTATTTTCTTATTACTTTGGTATTTTATTTCCTAAACTCGTTAAGGGACTGAGGAAAAGAAAAAGGTTTTCATATTTTTCATATTAGATTTTATACAATACTATAATGACAATTTCACATTCATTACAAAGCAATTGATCATTTCTTAGCATACAGTGAGACAGTATGTGATAACTCCAACAGCTTTTTCCCAGTTCAGTTTCAGAGTAACTTACCTTTTGACATGATACAACAGCGACTTAAGACTCATTCAATACTTTCCACTATGCTTTTTAAATTATTTTTCAAAGCAGTTAATGAAGCACAGCAAACAACATCTTTTAGTATCTTGCTACCTACATTTCTGCAGTTGTATGTAGTTCTCACCCAGTTATTGTGTTAAGAAACCATGTTTAAACCGAGGATGTCGCGGAATATTGAGTATTTCAAAAGGCTTAATATGCCCTTGTGTATTTTGCAGACAATCCTGGGCTAGTGAGCCACGTTCCAGTTGGTATTAGAATCCTGGACATCAATGACAACCCTCCAGAGCTTGCCAGAGATTATGATGTAGTCGTCTGTGAGAATGCAAAGCCTGGTCAGGTAACTGTCACAGTTACCTTTCTCCCAGTGAGAAAGAAGAATTACTTTCTTTGTTAATGCCATGTATGTAAGAAGTTTGAATCAGGGAACACATGTTATAATTCTTTCTGATTTCATTTTCATATTTCCAATTTGATTCAACTTTTTAACTGTATTAGGCCAAAGGGAAAATATTTGGGAATTTGTTCAATATATCTTTACTGTTGCTGAAAAAAAATACCCAAACTATTTTCAGTAAAGACAGGCAAAACTTTAACCGTGTCAGATAAGTGATGGAATTTGACAAGTGGCAATCCTGAACAAAATGGATGATGCAGATTTAACATCTCTCATCTAAGTGCCACATGGTAGCAAGGTTTCAAATACAGCTCAGTGAAATGGCTGGTTAACAGGGCTGCTGTCCTCACTATTTGCATGTTGATTGCCCTTGCCTGTTCAGGGTCATTATGGAAAGGATGTTGAATGGGTTTTTCACAACTCTGAGCATGGGGAGCATCAGAACTGAGACTAAATAGTTGAATCACATTCCAGCCATTGCTCCTGTGATTGACACACTTCATTGCAGTCCATGGCTTGACAGTTTTACCAAGTACGTTGCTTTTTTTTTGCATAGATTGAGCTTTTACCCAGCACTCTCTGCTGGTTTTGGATTATTACACAAGTTGTAAGTTGCAATTGTGAGCTCATATCTTTCCTGAGGAATATATTACTAGTAATAACAGTTTTCTCCTGAAATCTTTAAAAGCAGTCTACATAAATGCATAGTGGTGTATTTCTATTTTTAACATTGAGACTATAAAAATGCTGTACTTCATCAGACTATAAGCTGACCAAAGTTATCTTGACTGTAACAGAGGCCAAAAGCTGACACATTAAAAGCAGTACAAGAACATGGCAAGTGAATATGATACTTACCCCTAGTACTTCCCTGGTCTCAGATCATTTGCAGATCATTTCTTGATCCAAGTGTGGTTTCTGTGCTTTTAATAATCCTCTAATGACCATCTCATATGGATCTGTCTAGCTTTTCCTACAGCAAACATAAACTTTTGATATCTGCTACCTCATGGAGCAAGGAATTTTACACTTTAATAGCATGTATCAGGAAGACCTGCCACCACCACCTTTTTTTTTTTTTTTTAAATCTTACCATGCTGTCTTCAGTCAATATTTACCAGTTCTTGTGTTTTGGGGGGAGAGACAGAGAGAGAGAGTAGTTGATCCTTATTTATTATCTTGGTGCCATTCATAAATCTCTAGCACATTGCCCCTCAGCTGTCTCTTGCCCAGACTGAAGAGTTCTACTTAACTTGGACAGGTCATGATAAAGCCCTTCTAGGCTTTTGATCATTCATCTTGTCCTCCCCTCAACTTTCTCCAATTCCCCTCCATTCACCTTGAGATGGAGAATCAAGATTCAAGATGCAGGTATGCAGTGGTTTATAATTCTTTTCATAGTTTATGCTTCATAGTATACGATGATCTCTGCTCTCTTAGCAATTTCTAACAGTGGCTTTGCTTTTTAACCACCAGTAGGCACTGAATGCAAAAAAATCCCTGCCAAAACACCAGTGTAACACCAGAACACCAGAAGTAACGGTCAGCTCAGAGATCATCATCATTCATGTGAAGTTAAGACTTTATGTCTGTGTATAATGAATTTCACCTCTCTTTGTATTGCCTGGCTACTGAGGATTGGAAGGTCTTTAGTGTCAGCCCTTCCTCTTTTCTTCCTTGAGCAACTCAGTAATCATAAGTAGATTTGGTGGGCTGATTATTCATATTCTTTATAAGACATTTATCACTACACCGACTAACAAGTGGCCCAGCATAAATCTTTGTGAAACAGGAAATCTCTGTGACTTCCTTTCCTTATGGAATAGACAAGAGACCCTGAGAAGCAGGAGAAGAGATCCTATTTCTTTTTGAGCAATTATTTGTGCAAGGACCTTCCCTCTTATCTCATGACTGCATAGTGCTCTCATTGAGACACTCCACTCAAGGTCTTTGAAAATCTAAGTAGGTCTGTCTGTCAACTGAATATCTCTTATTAAACTTGCTTATTAAAGTAAAAATAATATTCTAAAAACCTAAAAAAAGCCAAATGTAGAAGAATTAGACCTTGTAAAAGACTATTTTTTTAAAAAAAGATAAAATCTCTTAAGCATTAATTACAATTTTTTTCAACATAGTCTGATATTTCTTAAATTATATAATTTAACAATAATTGTTAAAAAATTGTAAGAATTAATAATAAGCTAAAGCATGCAGTGAAGCTACCTCAGAAATGCTCTGCTTGCCAGGAGCATAGTTGGGGTTGAGTAGCTAATATTTCTTATTAGCAAAGTTTTAACTCTCCAATAGCAGCTTTGCAAATGGAAATTTATGCGAGAGATGTTCAAAGGAGAAAATAACTTTTACTGTAACACCATTTGCTCCTGATTTAGGTCAGCACTGTATTTCTTTCTGAGCTACTGTTTCAAGCATGAATGGCTCCTGACCTCTGTAGCATTGCAGTTTAACACCCGAGATTAATGCTACCATGAAGGTCTCCACAAGCAGCAGTTTAATAGGAAAGGCTGGATCAGCATGCTGTCGTATTCTTAAACTAACAGGACTCCATTATGTACATGACATGCACTAACTTCTATTTGCATTGCTCAACAAGACTCCAGAAAAGATTGTGATACCATTGCACTGTACAAAGAAAAACAACCCCAAAACAAAACAAAACACAAAAGTACATGGCTCTTACTGTCTAGGTTAAGAAAGAAAATGACAATGTTCAACAGATATTAAAGTGGGACAAATAAACAAGGCTTACAGAACAAGACAAGTGTTCCATATGCTAAAAAGCATGCCTGGCTGGATGGTTTTGAATTACTGAAAAGGCAGTATGTACTCTGAGTTATCCATCACCTTGTGAGAATGATTCATAAGATTTATCGCTAAAGAACAAGTTCTGTCAGGTGCTGCCAGGCACTTCTGCTTGACTAGTGCTTTGAAGTTGAGCTCCAGCCCTACGTTGTCCTGTACGCATCTATTTTGAATTTATTATGTCATTGGAAGACTTTTTGCATTTGCTTTATTTTCAGAAGAGGCTTCTATGTGAAGGTATCACAGTATCATTTAATTGCACAGCCACTGTCTCCTGCTTCTTTTTCCCCTCCAGAGCTCCATTTATTTAAAAAAAAAAGCCAATAAAACTTAAGGATTTAAGTAATTAAATGAACCCACCTAACATACCTCAAACAGAAAATGCTTGTGAGAAGATGATCATTTCCACACTACTCCCTTAGCATTTGCCTTGTTGAGAAAATAAACTAAGTATCCCTAACAGCTTCCAGGTGAAGCCTGGTAGATATTATATATTAAAGTTGGTAAAGCAGCTGTGATTTGATCTTAGATGGTATCCAAACTTGGAGAACTCTGACTTCTAGAAATATACTGATTCTGTGAATGATTGTGAAATTTAGCCTATGTAGGAAAATGAAATTTTGCGATCTTCCCTAAAGTGAATTTACAAATGACATTTTCCTTTGCTTCACATGCAACTTGTTTTATTATTTTTTAAGACAATGGGAACAAATAGTGATGTAAAAAAAAAAAAAAGTTTAAATGTTTTGTTCTGGAAAGTGAAGGAGTCAGGCATTGGCAGTTTTCTTAATGTTTCAAAGTTCAGTGTTTGTCCTCGCAGAGTATGAACATGTTAAAGTATCTGACTAGATCTGCTAATCATGTTCGCAATAGATCTCCAAAGATAACAATTTTTCTGGGTGCTTTTCAGAGGAATGATAGAAAAAGTTGTGATAGTAGTGAAATGTCATTTCCCTGACACTGTTCATCACACAGGTGTGTGTATGTGCGCATACACACACACACACAGAGAACTTTTTCAGAATGAGAGTGTATAACTACTGTGCTGCCATCATGAGCTACCTCACCCTGGATGCTGTTATTTCTAATAGCCAAAGAAAATCAATGTTCGCTGGAAAGGATACTTATAGCCTCTGCTGTAAGTTTGTCCTGTGTATATTTACTTGTTTATTGATTCAGTTCTGAAAAGGATCTGAATAGAATTTAGCGCCTGCTTTCTATCCTCTTCAATTAGTTCATTCTTGAAATTCTTTCTTTTCTTGCCAACACTTGTATTAAAAAAAATTACATAACCCTTCAGTTTCATCACTTCAGTGGTGTCAAGTGAGCTTTACAGCATCTGAGGTTCTGTGTCTACGCTTTTATTTTAATTGCCTTTGTAAGGTGCATGTTAATGTCTGCTAATTAGTTGGCTTATTAATTAGAAAAGGGTTAACAGTACATTGGGGTGTCAAGAGGACACATGCTTTTGTTCCTCATCTCTGAATGAATGTCTTAGAAATCTTTTCCTCAGAAAGCAACAGTTCTGTCAAAAATATTTCGACCTGTCCTATTACACATACAATGACTTTTCCACACAGATAAGCATGATTTCTATACCTTCTGGTGCTATACTTTTTCCATACATTTGTGAATTCAGGTCATACTTGAATTTCCATGTGTGAAGTCAGGGAATTCAGACAGTATATTTTGTTGAGTTTCAAGAATAGTAAAATTAGTCTTAAAACCAAATAAATTTTATACTAGTCTTGTGGCACTGAGGTCTTGATCAAAGGTATTTTTGTTGCAAAATGGCATGTTCTTGAAGCAAGATTCTGTAAAATGTCACTGAATGTTTTATGTAAGAGAGGGCAACAGGATGAAAGTTTATCCACTAGGCTGTCAAATAAAAGCTGAAAGTGCATGGCAAAATTACTTATATTTTGCCGGTAAACACCACTGAGGATTTATAAACAATATTTAACAAATTCATATCTTTTTTTAAGGTCTTATCAGATTTTTTTACAGCTATGTATGGTATTTAACAGCATTTTTAGTATTTGAGTAATAACAGAAACTGATTCTCTTGAAAATATTCTTCCATCGTCTTTTTTTTTTGGTCTTGCTTTGCCTTATAGCATTTCAACATTATTAACTAAGTATATCTGTCTGAGATAATGTTACATTTCTGGTTTTTACATGGTAGTTGTTTCAATAATAGATATGCCACCTTTGCAAAATTCAGTAGAGAACAGTTAGCTTTTGTGAAACATTTTCACCAATGTTGCCATGACTTTGGTAAACTGCATGATTATAGATGTTTCAGATTTATCTTATTCTGCTACAGTTCAGCAAAAAACTACTGTGATAAACTTTTAAAATAGTCTCATCAATTGTTACCAAGATTGTTAATTGTCTCAGGTGTGTATAGACAATATAATATACTATATTGTACATAGTCAATGGAGGAAGCCTTGTACTCTGTTGGCCTTAAAATATATTTGTTCTTCTTTTCTTATGTGAATGGAGGTAGAGAATTGTGTGCTGTCTTTTAGTTTTAAAACTGACCAAATCACTTGAGCCTGCACTGTTTATGCTTCAGGTTCAGTCCAGACAGACTACAACTGAACAGTGAACAGAAAAATTCTTATGAAAAGAGTATTTTCCCTCCCCCTTTTACATTTCCCTCGGGATGTCTATCAGCTGTGTGCAGCAGTCTGTGTGGGCTTCTCTGCCTATATCACAAGAACAACTTTTATTAAATTCTACTTTAGCACTTGATCTTCCAGGACCAGCATGAAAATGAAAGCAGAGGTAGAAATATTGCTTGGTCACACATTCCAAAAGCTTAGCTCAGTTTTAGTTGAAAGTAAATTGTAAAAACCACCAGGGCTTTCGAAGGCAAAGGTCCTACCTATCAAATATACCTCTCCCATACATGGTTGCTACATCTAATTCTGTTCCCTTTGGGCAAACCAAACTAAAATCAGGAGTGGCTGCTGTTCTTCCTGTTCTGTTCTCCAGCAATTTAAACTGATTCTTAATAGGAATTTTAAACAGAGAGCTGGTATTATATACCTGCCATTTTGGCTAAACAATTATTTTTCCTACCCAATACTGAAGTGCATCAGATTACTGGGAGGGCAAGTAGATGATGCTCTGCATAGACCATCCTGGTTCAGCTTGAATTTTGGCTCCATAAAAACACATATTTAGGTGAATCTGTAATTCTGAAAGTCACCAGGATGCAATGCAGATGGTGAAAATCTCTGTACCAGGTCCTGACCATATCAGAATGTCAGAAAATATAGATGCTTTAGATGCTTTTACCTAGCTCTGAAGTGTGGTTCCTAAAATATTTCATGGTAGAGAAATCAAGCTAATGGTCCAGTCATTTCATCAGTTGAATTTAGCAGCAGTCAAGTAGAAAATTAATATAAGCGGAGTTTGAGCATCCTGCTGAGGTCAGGTACTATTTGGGTCAAGTTCGAATTTCAACACATTCACTGTTAATTTTTGTTTCAGGTAATTCAGACTATCACTGCAACTGACAAAGATAACTCTGCAAATGGGGCAAGATTCCATTTTTCCCTTGATGAAGGGCTTTCTTTGAATCCCAACTTTACTCTAAGGGACAATGAAGGTAAATCAAACACAAATCTCAAAGAAATGGATCTCTGTTTTGTCTGGGATGTCTCATTGAACAGAACAATTTCCATGCATTTCTTGACAGACGGGAAAACTGTAATCTGTCATCACTAAACCGGCTGATATCAAGGACATGGTGTATAAAACATGTTGCAGACTATGAATAATCAGATACTGCATTTTATTTTTATATTCCATTTTATTTTAGCATTTATACTTCATATATTCAGGATTGTTTTTAAAAAGTGGATTAATGAAGAAGATGTTGGCAATTTGGTCTATTTCTAGGTGAATAGCACGGAGTAGATACTGTTAAGGTTATTGCCAGTTTTTGCTTAAAGGAGAAAATAAGAATTTAAGGAGCATAAAAAGTTGAATTCATGCTTTCTTTTATAGATAGGATACAAAGAGCAGGTACTTGAGAGCTTCCTGGATGATAGTCTGTCACTTCATCCCTCTCCTAATGAAGTGTGTCTAAAAAGTACAATCAGAAATTCGTAGCAGGTACGCCCAGAAGGAAAAAGACCTTCAGAGTCACCCAGCCAAGTGTTTCTGAACATTTCTTGAATCAAAAGAACCATCCAGCCTTTCCAAAAAAACCCCAAGTCAGCCTTACTATTTGGTGAATATTGCCTCATGGTTTCCATTTTGCAACCTGATGAAAATGGGAGTAAACTTTAAATACTTGCCTGCGTCTTTCCTCTTGAGCTTTTGTGTATGTCTGTGTTGTGTGGTTTTCTTTGTATGCATGTGTGGAAGTGGGGGGGGGTTGCTTTGTTTTGCAGTTATATTTTTGCAGTAGTGCCATGGAATACCTTCTGAGATCTTACAGATCACCACTCATTTGTAATGACTGAGAAGCATTAACTCCGTCATTGGTACATATGGCACATACAATGATGTTTAAACTATTCTTTACAGATCTTTTTCATCTGTTTTCAAAACCTTTCGGGGAAGGAGACTGCAGGAGACTAAATTCATGGCCCTCATATTATGGTTCCAAAAGAGATCAATCCAATACCTAACAATATTGAAAAACTAACAATATTTGAAGGACTAGTTCATATTTTAAAAACATTCCTTAAGTGATGACTCCAGCCCTTTCCCAGATTAGTATATCAGTTCCACTCAGATCATGATGGAGCATTATAGCAAAATCCAGAAGATTGTTCCTGAAATAAAGTGTACTGTTGTGTATTTTTGTATTTGAGTCTAAGATTCAAATAAACTCATTGAGTATTAGACTGTGATCTCGTGTGGGAGACCATGGCCATGTTCATTTCGGTACGAGATACTTACATCAAGATGTGTTTTTGAATAACTCTATTAAAATTGTGGTTCATGATGGAGTAGATATTTTATGTCTCTGACCCAATTTTAATCAGGATCTATATTATGCCTGTTTATTACAGTGGAAAATGCTGTGTTATGCTTTAAGGACGGCATGTCACCATAAGTTATTTACCTACACAGTTTTATAAGAGGGTGAGAACTTCTCATAAATCTCCAATGCAGCAGTGTCATGCGTTGGTTATAAGTGTGCAGCAGTAAGTATTTGCTGCTTTCTTGTTACCTGTCCAAGAGCAGTGAGCAATGACTTTAACACAACAGCAGAAGGCAGTGTTTGGGCTATCCCAAGTTGTATTTGGCAGGGGGTAGTAGGGGAAGGAAATGGAAAAGTTGGCCTTTAAGGTAAAAGCCTGCTGTGTATTAGGTTTTTATTTCACCTAAGGAGATAGAAAAAGTAAGTATGAACTTCCTGTAGCATCTCGTATAAAACTTCAGCGTGTACAGAGACTCCAGAAATGCAGTTTCCAATTTGCCCATATAATTAACACAATGACAGTTTAACTCAAATCCTAACAAGAAATTGATCTTAAACCACGACCCTTTGATTGTACTGTTTAAACACTGCCCTTTATTGGGACATTTTCTTTGTGTAAAATATCAGTGAAACACTTACAAAGTGCATTCACAATATCCAGTTACCTAGCATTTACACCTTTCATATTTATTGTCTATTCCTATTCAGAAATGAAATTTCTGTTGCTTTCTATCCTAGGAAATAGCTGAGAGATGGTGGGCAGAAGAGGCTTTTCTTATGTCTGTGACAAGTTTGCACTTTTGAAAACTCATGTTTTTGAGCATCAGCTGTTAAAAGGAATCAGAATGCTCTTAACACAAGACAGCTGCTATTTTTACCTCTGGATTTAATAATTCTATGAAGGCTGGCTTTTTGGAGGGTTTTATTTGTTATGCTATGTTTTTTGAAGAAAAAGAACTACAGCAGTTGCCTTAAGAGAAGTTTCAATAATGTTTTGCAGAATGATAAAAAGCAAAATCTTGATGTCGCATTGAAAGTGGTAGTCAGTGGCAGCTGTATCTGTCACTGCAAAGCTATGTTTCTCTTGCAGTCATCTTTGGATCCAGTCATCATCTCCTTTTATTTCTTCAGGACAAAGGTTTCATTTCACAAAAATCTCAGTAGACATTTTGTTGCCTTGTTTTCATAACCCAGAACAACAGAATTTTGCTCTTTGAGCCCAAATGCACTGTTGCACAAATGTTCACCTACTCCATTATCATCATTAGAGCTACAAGACAAAAAGACCGTACAGCAGTGAATTGGATATTTAAATATTAATGCACTATATACACAATATCTATGCACTTTGACTGAAATCTAGAGGACTTGCACAAGCATAAGATTTTGTAGTTTGTCCCTACCTTCCTGTATAGACTGCAGCAATATACACTCTCAGCATGTGTATGATTCAGGTCAATAATATTTTATGGCTTCAGCAGAGGAAATAGATATTAAAGCATCAGTCCAGATAATTGATCATACGAACAGTTTAGCTTTTATCTCTTGGGCCTGAACTTGTGCCTTTACTCAGAAGCAACCTGCAATGTTAAAGCTCCAGCCTTTGAATACGCACCCTCACAATGCAGAGCTTAAAACCCTCAGGGAAATGTAGGTCAGGAGACAGCCACAGGACTATACGAAATATGCGGTCCAACAGAACCTAAGAGTTGCATGGATCACCTTCTGGATTTTGTTGGTGTTTACAATTTTCATTTTAAAGAAAAAAATGGGAAAGACAGAATATGATACCTTTTCCCCTGCTGACTGGATTCTTAAGCTGCAGTAGATTCTTTGCTGCTGTTTGAGTACTGACAAAGTACTGTTCTGAGAGAGTAAAGGCTTAAGAGTATGAACAAGAGGACAGCCAACAAAATATTTCATTATCTGTACACATGTAAGCAAGACAGAACAAGAGCTGCAATAGAATTTCTTTGCTATACAAAGAAAACGCATTAAGTTGTAATCATTTCCTGCAATTTTAGAGAGCAAGCCCAGGGAAGATGCCTTTTTGTTTGTTTGGGAATTGTACCTATGGAGGCTTTTTAATGAAAACAGGGCTGTTTACAATTTATTCTTTCAGAAAAATGTTGCAATTTCTATTAAAATTTCTTTTAAAACCTGAGCAGCGAAATAGTTTTTTAGTCTGGAAATGCTTTTATGTTGCAGCTCAGATGCTACATAACTCAGTTCATGGCTGTCTGTGTTCTCACTTGTTTTTTTAGGATGTTATTGTCATAGATAATTTTTTAATGCTTTTTTTATTTGTGTGTAGTATCTCAAATTTACACTTTTTGCCTAACCAGAAATATCTTCTTTTGGATGTCCCATTAAAAATTTACCAGGGCAATATGTGAATAAAACCACCTTCTGTTGGAGAGTCAGTGGAAAGATGAAAAAAATTCTTCACAATGGAGCTGTTTCTAAGTACTGGATTTTTAAATTGTAGTTCTTTTATCCGGAAAGAATCATAATATTTTTCCAGATGCTTAAACAATGGTTGATACATTTGTCACAGCTTTTTAGTTTGATGGAAAATGAATGTGTACATATGTCATGGTTATGATATCCCCAACCTTTAATATACAGACACACACATTTGCATAGTCTCTCTCTCTACCTCTGTCTCTCTAAGTCTAAAAAATTCATTCCTTCTTTCTGCATATTTTGCTACCTTTAAGAGACCTCTTTCAGAAGTCACACAACACTTTTCTGGGAGCTGACAAAAGATTCAACCCCCAGAGAACAGTTCACTTAGGTACAAGAGAACATTTATGAATTTTATGCACTGTAAAGCACTGTTTTGACAGTGGTTTTGTTTCTGTTTTGGTTTGGTTTTTGTTTGTTTGGGGTTTTTTTTCACAAGATATACAGTCTACCATGGGTGCTCCAATGGGTATTGTAAATTTGTTGGACAATAAGGGTTTGTGCAGAGACTGTGCACATTCACCCAACACTACCAATAAGATTTGTACATTCTCGTACATTAATAAATTGAGACTGCCGACTTCTGAGAGTATACAAAGTTTACCTTACTTTCAAGGAAGAACAACTCCCTAGAGAATGCTTAGCATTTGTTCTCCTCTCCTTTTATTTCTTCAGGACAAAGGTTTCATTTCACAAAAATATTTGCAGTTTTATTTTTCCCCTCTGCCCACTTTTCTCAAAGATCTGGCCTTTTGAAAATTGCCCAGTGATGGAGAATATTCTGGAGTTGGAACAAAAGTAGGCCATTTTTCTGATACTATCCCTTTGAAGGTTCCTTTTTCTTAATGTTATGCCACAAGATACTTTAATACCCGCTAAAGTAGACACATGCTTTTCTATAAAATCTGGATCACAGTGAATTCAATGGCATGTGTATAAAATGAAATTTGTAATGTGTTCATCCACCCATGCCTGTGATGCAGCTTAACATTTTTCCTGTGTCACAGATCAAAAATGAGTGGAAAATAAAAGATCAGTTTTACTTGGCATTGCTGTTATTTAGGAGGAGAGTAGCCTCCAGAGAGTAATTCATCCCATCCGAGTGTGAATTCCTTTGCAAAAGTTTCTGTATATCTCTCTTCCCTGATGTGTGCAAAATTCCTATTTCCAACCATATTGCACAAGATGTCTGTAGCAGGCAGGTG